AAATACTTCAAGGGGCATCAAGAGAGGAGAGGGCAGGCCTGTTCTTTGTTGCCCCAGAGGGATGAGCTGGTTTCATGATTTGAAGTTAAAGGAGAGTAGATTTCAACTGAACTTTAGAAGGAATGTCTTGAATATAAGAGCTGATAAATAATGGAACTAATTGACTAGGGAGATGAGTGGGGTCTTCTTCTCTGGACATGTTAAAAATTGTCTGGATGATCCCTTTCTGGGGATGCTTTAGATGGACATCTTGCACTGAGCAGGGGGCTGGAGTTGGAGACCCATGTGGCTCCTTCCAACTCTAGGATGCTATGAAAAACCAAAGTCCCTCCAGTTTTATTGCAACAACTCCTTCTGAATGCCCATCCCATGATAGATAGGGAGTGTGGGGGACCAGAGAGGTGCCTGATTATGTCCTCCTACAGATACAGAATGATGGCGTCCTCCACTGAGAACTTTGGAGGACCCTAGCTGACCCAACAGAAGATGGCATTGGTCTGCTTTTGGCCATGGGGCACAGCCAGATGCTTTTCTGATCTCCTGGACTCTTGACCAGTCACAGAATGTTTCTCCAGGGGCCCTGTTGGAGCAATACTGTGAGTCCTGGGGATGATAAGTGAGGAACACTGTGGAATATTGCTTGCAAAACTCTTTCACTATGCTGTACAATGTAGGATCTCAGCCACAGATAGCTACACTTGTTTGCACTCCTCTTCCTAATGCAGTGGGCCCTTGGTATCCACTGGGGTTTGGTTCCAAGACCTGTTGTCGATATCATAATCCATGGATGCTTGAGTCCCATTAAATACAGTGGCGTAGTGAAATGGTGTCATTTATATAAAATAGAAAAAAACAAGATTTGCTTTTGGAGTGTATATATATATCAGTATATATATTGATTATTTTCAAACCATGGATGCTTGAATCCATGGATAAAATAGATCCATGGATACTGAGGGCTGACTGTAGTTTCTAATTGAATGCAAAAACCAGGGGTTTATTTTTGTCATTACCTCTGGCGTAGTGGTTTGAGTGTTGGACTGTGACTCTGGAGATCAGGATTCAATTCCCAGCTTGGCTGTGAAACCCACTGGGTGACCTTTGGCCAGTCACATGCTCTCAGCCTCAGAGGAAGGCAGTGGCAAACCTCCTTTAAAGAAATCTTGTTCAGAAATCCCCAAGCCTTAGGGTCAGCGTAAGTCGGAAATGACTTGAAGGCACACAATGATAATATATCCTTTAAAAACGGTTATGCTCCTTTGTGCATTTCCCAGAAACCTTTATTGTAGAAACACTTATCCGAATTTTTGTCTCTGCCCCCTCGCACCACAAGAATTGTGAGGGTTGCTTTTTGCTTCAGTTCCCAAGTTTGGTGGCATTTGTGCCGAACAAGAAACTCACAGATCCATAGAGGTTTAGGAAATGGTCTGTTCAGAAGTCCAGGCATGCCTCCTGCTGTTCTCTGCCTGAGTCCCCATCCCTGGAGGAAAGGAAACAAACACAGCCAGTTGGCACCAAAGCTGGTGCCTTCTCCCCGTTGTGTGCCATCTCCTTTTCCCTGGCAGATGTGCTTTTTGGATGAAATGGGGCTGGTCCACCAGCTGTATCCTCTTGTTTGTCTGCTCAGTCCTCCTGATTTGCTTTGCCAGGTCTGCTCCCATTGAGGCAGGCACCTGGAAAGCTGGCTTCTTTGGAAAGTTACTTCTGAAAAGCAATTTTCAAGCAATGATTTGTTATAGTCTTTTTTTTAAAAAAAGATAATTTATTGTCCTTCCTCATTATGACATAAAAGTTAATGAACGTTGCATGTTACTGCTTTTTCTTTTTAAAAAAACCTCAGTATGAACAAAGTTAGCATGAAATGTATCAAATGCTGATCAGAACATCTCTTAAAAGCCTTGGAAAAGCAACAAGAAAACATTACGGGTTCCATTGCTCAAATTAACTTCATTCCTACATATTCTGTGACTATTCACATGTTTACCTGTCACTTGTTACTCTGTTCATTTGTGTCCTTAAGATGGAGCTAAGGCTGCATTTACACTGTAGAATCAATGCAGTTTGACACCACTTTAACTGCCATGGCTCAGTACTATGGAGTTCTGGGATTTGTGTTTTGTGAGATATTTAGACTTCTCTGTCAGAGAGTTCTGGTGCCACAGCAAACTATAGTTCCCAGGACTCCATAGGATGGAGCCATGGCAGTTAATGTGCTATCAAACTGCATTAATTCTGTAGCCTAAGACTGCATTCTCTCATGCAAAGGCTGCTATTACCTGAGTTCAACAGGAGGTAAAGCATTGCTACCCAAGCCCCCAAATCTGGGCCCCTTCATGCCACACCATTATAGTATTGTGATTTGGCTTTAACTTCCATTGCTACGTCCTGCAGAATCCTGGGATTTGCAGTTTTGGGAAGGGAACATAGAATTTCCAGCCAGGGAGTTGCAGTGCCTCTTCAAACCACCTACCCAGGATTCCATAGGCTGCAACTGTAGCATCTGAAGAGGAATCCAAGTGCTGTAGTGTTTCAGAGTGGAAGAGCCCCTGTTCTTTGCTCATAGGATCAATTTGCTAGCATTCCAGTGGTGGCTACTTAGTGCCTTCCATATCAGTGCAGTACTGCTCTAGGGTTAAAACATTAAGGTAAAAGTGTTAAACCTGTGGGTCCGTATTACCTCCAGTACTGAAACCAGTATTCCACCCAATAATGTTTGCCTGACAACTGTTAGTCTAATTTTAACAGATTAATTAACAGAGATTATCGCAGCACTAATTAAACTGGTTTAGCTGAGCCAGCTTAAAATTTAAAATGGGCGGCATCCTGATTTTATCACAGGGATTTTGCTGTTGAAATCGCTGCCCGGGTGCTGCCCAGTTCCATCCCCGCTCCCAGGGCTGCTCTGGCAGCCATTTCCTTAAACCAGAAAATTCCTGACTTCGAAAAAAGCTGCACTGAGTGGCTCAAGAAGTGGGGATGGAACTGGGCTGCACCCGGGCAGCGATTTGGGTGGCAAAATCCTTGTGATAAAATCAGGATACCACCTGTTGTAAATTTTAAGCCGCTCAGCTAAACTGGTTTAATTAGTGCCACGATAATCTCCAACTGCTAAACTGACTTTAGCAGGTTAGAGAGCTGGGCCAAAACTAACAAATTCAATTTTAACAAGGAGAAATGTAGGATGCTACACTTGGGCAGTAAAAATGAAATGCACAGATTGTCAGAACCCAAAAGGGTTTTGGTCCTGCCATGATGTATGAAGTTGAGAAATGTATATATAAATCCTGTATTGGTTTGTGTTGTATGTATAGAATGTGTTCTCCTGTATTAGACAAGTTTAAATTTTGGTGCCGATTTCAAAGAACAGTTGGGAGGAGTTTTTCTGTAGTTGCAGAGCAGAAATCAAAACGTTAAATCACAGTTACTAGGCAGAAAAACCAAAGGTTGTAATACAGTCACCAGGCAGAAATCAAGTGGTTACATAGAAGTCAATGGGCAGAAATGAAAAGGTTACATTGCAGTTACCAGGCAGAAGTCAAATTATTACATTGCAGACAGGCGAGACTAGGTAACTTCAGTCTATATATAGGGACAATAAGGCAGAGAAGGGCAGTATCAACCTAAACGCTGGCTGATCATTACTGGCCTTGGTCTGCAATAAAGTCTTTTTGTTCTTTCCCCAAGAATATTGTCTGAGTCCTTGGAACAGAGCTGATTGATACATGACACAGATATAGGATGGGTGACACCTAGTTTGACAACAGTACATTCAAAAGAGATCCAGGAGGGATGAATTTATGCTGGATGGAAGGTTTTTATTTATGTGTGTGTGTGTGCATGTGTCTATTTATGTATTTGTGCTTCTGTATGTTTGTTTTTGGGTTCTTTTTGTTTGATATTTAGTTTTAATTTTAATTAATATTTTATTGCATTTTAATTAATATTTTAATTGCATTTTAATTAATTTTTTTTAAAGGGATCTGGAATCTTAGAGGGCCACAGGCTAAATGTGAGCCAGCAATGTGATGCCGGAGCTAAGAAAGCCAGTGCAATTCTAGGTTGCATCAATAGAAGTATAAAGTCTAGATCTAGTTATCACTCTATTCTGATTTGGTCAGGCCTCACCTGGAATAATCCTGAGTCCAGTTCTGGGCATCACAATTCAAGAAGGATGTTGAGAAGCTGGAGCGTGTCCAGAGGAGGGCCATCAAAATGGAGAAGGGTCTGGAAATCACCAAGACCTATGAGGAGAGTGAGGAGGGAGAAGGTTAAGGGGTGATATGATAGCCCTGTTTGAATATTTGAAGGGAAGTCATATTGAGGATGAAACAAGCTTCTAAGATTGTGTTGGTGAACCCGTTGCACGTATACCCTCTCCGGCACGCGAAGCCATCTGATTGGGCACAGGGCCATGGTAGCCTGGGTCGGGGAGCTGGCAAAACAGCCCTCCAGCTCCCAGGGTGGGAACTCTCCCCATAACCCAGCAGCAGGGTTTCTTCCAGTGCCTCTCAGGTGAACAATACCTTAAGGTTGTTTTGTGCCTTCAAGCCCTTTCTGACTTTTTGGGTTGCTATCCTGGGGTTTCCTTGGTAAGGTTTGTTCAGAGGAGCTTTTGCCATTGCCTTTTCCCCTGAGGCTGAGAGTATGTGACCTACCAAAGGGCATGTTTTCTTTGTGCCTTCAAGCCCTTTCTGACTTAGGGGGGCACTATCTTGGGGTTTCCTTGGTAAGGTTTGTTCAGAGGAGCTTTTGCCCTGAGGCTGAGAGAGTGTGATTTGTCCAAGGTTATTTGGTGGATTTCTGTGGCTTCATGGGGAATTGAACCCCGATCTCCCAGAGAACTAATCCAACAGTCAAACTGCTACACCACACTGGTGTCCCAAACACACCAAAACTGTTACAGGATTTTCTTAGCAAGATTTGTTCAGAGGGAGGTTGCCATTAACATCCCCTGAGGCTGAAAGAGTGTGACTTTGCCTAAAATCACCCAGTGGGTTTCTTGCTTGAGCAAGGAATCGAACCCTGGTCTCCTCAGCCATAGTCCAACATTCAAACCACTACATCACGCTGGCTCTTGCTGGCCATATAGCAAAGTACAGTATCATTCAAAATCCACAAAATAGTGATATTCAGCCACTGGTGTTAGGGCTGCATCTGCACTGCAGAAACAATCCAGTTTGGTGCCACTCTAACTGCCAGGGCTGAATGCTGTGGGATCCTGGGATTTGTAGGTTGGTGAGATATTTAGCCAAAGAGCTCTGGTGCCATAATAAACTACAATTCCTAGGATTCCCTAGCACTGAGC